ACGGCATGTGGCGACATAAAATCCTCCGAGCCTCTCATCTTTTAATCTAAATTTAGGCTTACTATTTATTACAGAGTCTAAAATAAAATTAAAGTAAACTGTACACAGTGTCTTCTCTGATTCGCTGCCCTGTCTGATCATAATCTGTCTGAAGGGGTTTTTTGTTTTTAGGGAGTTTTGTTCGGGTTTTTCCAAAATGAAATCCAATTTACAAACAGCCAAACTGGTGCTGCAGCTATGATGTGTATTAAAAATTAATGCCATAATTATTTTGTTTATCAATCATCTGGCAGAACTAAACCAGGACAATCCGATCCAGGGTGACATAACCAGAGAACTCATGTTGGCTTGAATGTAAGACGATAAAACCAAAGCTTCAGACGCTTCCAGCCAACAACAGCCTGCAGACACATCACAGAGACCGACATGCTAACATGCTAACACAGGCTTATTGGCACCAGAAACTAAGGAGCTGAGGCTGATGGGAAGGTCATTAGTTTTCTGTGTTGACATCTGGCAGCACTTTAGGGATCGTTGGGATCCTCAAATCTGTTGCAGTTCATCAGATCTGCAGCACGTTTTACAGCAAATCCATCCGTTAATTGTCAAAACATTTTACTGTCACATTTGTCCTCAAACCTCTTGGCTGCTACGAGAGCATCGTCGGCGCCGTGAGGGTTTTCTGAGAGGCAAAACTCTGTCAGTCCATCGACTAAAACATTGACCTGCGAGTGGTGAAGATGTAAACTTCAAAACATCCAGAAGCTGTTTCACCAAACTGGTAGAGTGACCCTGACCATAAGTTCAGCTGTTCTCCATGCACTAAATACGAAATCTATTCAATTCAAGTCATCTCATAGCGCTCAACAGAGGCAGAAACACCCAACGATCCAAAACATTTGGATTCCCTATAAGCTTCAGCAGTCTGCAATAGTGGGAAGGAACCAAAAACCCCCGCAGTGGAAAAAAAAAAAACCTCAGACATAACCAGACTCAGGAAGGGACGGCCATCTGCCTGGACCGGTTGGGTGGGTCTAACCTCTAACACTAGACTGTTGGGGCGCCCCGTGGCTCGCCTGGTTGGGCGGGCGATCCATGAGCAGGAGCTGTGGTTCCCCGATGCGACGGTCGCGGGTTCGACTCCCACTCAAGACCCTTTGCTGTTGGTCTCTCCCCAATTTCCTGTCTATCGCTACTGCTCTAAAAATAAAGGCAAAAAGCTCCCAAAAAATAAAAACTAAAACTAAACACTAGACTGTTAAAGCTCTCAATAAGGTTCATATGTACCCAGAAATACAATTACTTTGGTCAACCATTTTCAGAATTCTGAACCCTTTCAACTCCAAAACCTGCTGCTGGGTTTGGATGGGATGCCATCCTTTAAAACAAACAAACAAAAAAAGCCCAAATTACATAATCTATTCAAGCCAGAAACTATTAAAGCAGAAGTAATCATCAGATCTCATAAAATGATCACTGTCAAAATGAACCAAAACTTTGCTTGAAGTTGTGATATTTCACCAAAGTCCGTTTATCCTACGGGTCTAATTTAACATCTGTCAACAACAAACTGACCAGATCCTGTATAAAGAAGGAAAAAAAATAGAAATCTGCAGAAGCAATTCAGAATCCATTTGTGACTCAGCTGCAATTAACCAATGACAAAAATTCAGGGACTTTTCGGTTGAGCTGCAGGAAAGGACACAAGTGTGGAGACAAATTAAAAATCTAAGAAGCAAAATATCCACAGTATCTATACCCCCACTGTGTGCAGTTTTGGCAACACCTGTGTAGGAAATTGTTGCACATGTCGACTCCAGGTGTTGTCATTTCCAGAATCAGAAGTCGAATCAGTAGCTATTTCATTGCCAAGTGAGCTCGCACACACCAGGAATTTGGTGAACGAGATGGTACGCAACAATAACAAGACAGGAATAATTATCCAAGAAATTCTAAATAAAATATGTAAAAGAAAAGAATGAAAGCACTACGGAAATAAAAAGTACCATGAAAAGAGACATAAACCAACTAATAAATTAATTAAACTAAGAAATTAAGAATTTCTTTTGTAAATTAATCCAAAAAAAAAAGAACTTTTATTTTCGTTTCGTTATGATTTCTGTGTCATGTTCCTAAACACATTTCTGAGATCTCTCTACTTCTAGCCGAGGTTGTGCCGTTTCCACAGAGGTGCAGGACTTTATACTACAGTAAAAAAAATCTAAATAAGCCCACAGTGAGCAGAAATGCTAAGAAAGGGAATCAGTTTGTCATCATTTATTCAGAAGCTTATTGAATTTACTGGTGTGATGACCTGTGGGGTCTTCATACAGATGCTCTGTGTGTTCTGTAACTAACACGATTGAGCCAAACAACGAGCTCCTATTAATCATCTTTGAAGATAATTACATCTGGCGTCATAAGAGAAAGTACAGTGAATTATAAAACAGCCAGCTTATATTTAATACATAAGATATTATCCTACTGATGCAGCCGAGCCATTTAGAACCAACACCACGGCTCTGAAGTAGCCCATAAATACCAGGCCTGTCATCTCAAGTCTTCTACATCAGAAATATTTATCATTAACCACGCGGGGTTCCTGGTAGAGAACAGAGGTTTTCGTTCGCCACTTTCTCGGACACTCGTTATTTATGCAGGAACATCTGACAGTTTGCCTCGCAGTCACTTCTAACCACATCAGACTCGGACCAATTAACCAGAAGTGACAGGGTTTCTGATCTCAGCAGTGGTTTTCGTCGACCCAGCATGTTCGTGGTACAGAAGAGATCCTCTGGGGCTCATCCTGGAGGATTCATGTTTAATGATTTAACTCTGAGTCAAATAAAGGACTCGGTGGAGAACAAGTGACCGACTGTAAAGAACAGGTAGATTTTATTCAGTTAGTTTGTTCTATTGTTTATACAGAAGAGTTCAGATGTGATTATTTATTGTTGTATATATGTCACATCTGCACTCGCTGTCAGCCGCTATCTCCCAACACGACGTCATAAATATGCTGTTACTAGTGTATACATCACTACCAGATCACTTTACATGCAGGCAGCAGCTGAAGCCCACTACAGGATGTGGATCTGGACTTGTTATGAAGCACCACAGGGCACCAGATCTGTTGCACAGCAGGAGAACATAGAACAACTTGTGTTGGTTTTTACAGACGCTTGCTTGGAATCTCTAATTAACAGAAATCTGTACAATGAAAACATGGAACCATCATCGTGGTTAGATGAAAGTTTTCTGATGAAGCTTCCTCCTCAGACGGCCACGGTCACTAGCAGACCTCCAGTTTGGCTAAATGAAGGGAATCTAGTCTACTTTGGTCAGGAACCAACTTCCAGCTTCACCTTCACCCGTAGGAGAGAATCGGGGAAGGACTCCTGGTATTCACTTCTAAACACTGCTTCCAGCTCTGGGACAGTGAATTTCTGAACCTAACAGCTGGTTAATGCTCCTCAGCATCCTCCCCTGCCAACGAGCAGAGGATGGAGCTTCTCCAGAGCCTCTTCCTCCTTTATCTCTGCTGTTTTTAACGGCCTGTTGTTGAGCTTGTAGGCTGTTGGTGGCTCGGCCTTTACGCTCTTGTGTTCAGCTACTCTGGTCTCGACATGATTTTTGTTTTGTTTTGTTTTTCTTCCCCGTTACATCGTTTGCCTGATGGGAGATTTGGGCTTTCATCGTCGCGATTGTCGGATCAGTTCCTCTCAGAGCTCACCAGAGTTCCTGAAGCACCTGCAACACAGACCTGGTTTAGGACCAGCAGCAAGCAAAGTGTTGGCTGTGGGAGCTTCAGACTGTAGTGGTGGCACGTGCATTTATTTGTGTTTATATCATTCCACGTAACGGCGTTTCAGGACTCAAAAGGCCGATGAATCCGCTCAGCTGCCAAAAGAATAATTGGGGATTTTTTCTCGCTTTTATGCTGAGGCAGCAGCAATTTAGCTTAGCTTAGCTTAGCTTAGCTTAGCACAACAAGAGTAAACAGCTGGTCTGGCTGCATCTACAGCTCATATGAATCTTCCTACTTGCACCTCTGAAGCTCACTAATTAATACGATTCTAATTTGCTATAAAAACCAAAGCGTGGAAACAAGTTCAGGACTTTGTGGAGGTTTGAGCCTCCAGATAAATTAATAACATGTTTGAGAACTGGCAGTAATCGCTGTGACTCCAGCGTACGCCCAAATATAATCAGCACATGCCTCGATTAGATCTGATTACATGTTGTTGGTTCTCAACATGTGTTTGTAAAACAACATGTTCTGCTGCAATTTAGAGGACGTACGGAGGCAGGTACAGAGGAAACGTGCAGCCTCGCTCTGGAAACACGACTGAATCATTTTGGGGTTTATCGAGCAGTCACAGTGTCGATCTGTTATGAGCTCCGGGGCAGATTAGTTTGGCTGAGAGGGAAACCTTAATGTTAATAACGTCTATCTAGCTCTCTGAGGCTTTTTACTGTGCGTCCAGCTGCAATAAGCATGAATAGAATCAGATGTTAAGACTCTGATCAGATGGATGAATATACAGTCGAGTAGCGAAGACAGTTTGTCGCCTCACTGTGGGACGGTTCTGTGGAGTTTGCATGATGTTCTCTCTGTTCTCATGTTCTCCAGACGCTCCACCTTCCTCCCACAGTCCAGAGACGTGCCTGGTGGTCTGCCTCTTCGTGTTGTGATGGGAATGCTTGGACGAGCTCCAGCCCTCCTCACGATACAGCAGCTATCACAGGACGGGCAGATACCAAACAGTTGCGCCCTCGTGGGCATTTTCCACATCTGACTAAACGGGGCGCTCTCAGCGTGGAAAAATAACAGAACCGAAAAGGACTTTAGTGATGGTGTTCCTGATCAATTAGCAAAGAGAGGGAACAACGCCTTCTGCTCATCTGGACATCTGCAGGATGGACCAGGATGGACTTTTGTTGTGGCCGAACTGCTGAGGGGGTACGAGTGCAGCGCAGCAACAAACGGTTACACGTCATCATTACACGACTCATGTTTTATTCACAAAAAAACACCATTCCAGGCACTTGTAAAGTCGGATCATTGTCTTTTCTCTGAGATGCCGTGAACTGTCCTGGGCAGAAGAAACACAGCAGCTCTGGAGTCAGACGGAGGAACAAGTCGTGTTCGCTTCATTCGTAGCGTTTCTGTTTAAACTTTGGACTAAACACATCATCAAATTTCCAGTGACTGTAAAATACTCTATATGGGCTAAAACAAGTGCTAAAAATGATTCGCCAGGCGGTCCGAGTCCACCTCAGGTTTGGTTTTAGAAAACGGGCCACAGAGACAGTTTCTGTGACCGTGTCGTCTCTCGGTCCAAAGTACCTTCGATGCCACACCTTTATTGTTGAAAACAAACGTCTCTTCCTGCTCACTTTTCTCTCTCAGCATCTTCTCCTGTTTTCTTTCATCTGCTAAACGTCTCACTTCCCTGTATCTTGTGTTTTTGGCACACTACCTCTTTAATTTCACACTTTCTGTTCTCCTCAGTCTCCTTTGTCACTGCCGTTGTCTTGCAGTCCCAGAACGCTCGCCAAACGCTTCGCCCTGATCGGAGGCAGCTGGTCGTACGTGTCGAAGCCGAGCGCCGAGTGCCGTTGGGGCAGACGGAAGAGCAGCAAGTGGTTCTTCAGCACCTGAAAACGAGATAAGGAGAATGAGACGGATGCGACAGAAGCATCAGTATGAAGCAGTTATTTCCCGTGAGGAGTGCTTTCAGCCCGAGGAGGTGCTTCTGACGCGATCGGGGAGGCGTGCGGAGGAACCGTGACGCAGCTCGGCTAATTTTAATAAGAAAATTAGAAATGATGATTTGATTTAGCTCCCGCAGCTCTAAGGGTCATAAACACAGGAAGAGCAACGCGGTGACAAATGACCGTGGAGCAGAAAACATCTCTCGGCGACGCAGACTGAGCAGGTACTCAGTCAGACTAATATCTGCTTTGAGGAAATGCGACTGGTTGACGTCCGACACCATCACAGAGCTCCCTAGAAGATTACCAGAGGAAAGCAACACGTGTGTCTTTGGCACGTTGAAACCGAAGATCTTACGGCTTCCGACAAACTCGAACCGTACAGCCGCACTCACAACTTCTACACAATGTCTTTGATCATAGCAGAAAGAAACCGAATGTGGGCGAATTGTCATTGTTGGACCACAGGATGACCAGTTTCAATATCTGTAGTGGGGAATATACGCTTCATCACTTCACTGGCTTCCAGCTGCTGCCAGCATCAGATTCAAAACTCTGACACTTGCCCCCAAAACCCCAACGAGAACAGCTCCCTGCTACCTGAACCCTCTCATTCAGGTCTACACGTCCTCCCGCTCCACCAACAAAACCTCCTGATCCAACCACCTCAACAGAGTCGATAGCTGGACTTTCCTCCTCTGTGGTTCCCCGGTGGTGGAGCGAGTTACCAAACTCTGTTCAATCTGCTGACTCCCTCTCAGGCTTTAAGAAAAGACGAAAGACCAGCTCTCCACTGAACACCTTTACACTTGACAGAGTGAAAAACAAACAAACAAAACAAAACACAGCCTGCTTTAGCATCAGCGCCCTGCCACTCTTGAACTTGTTCTACGGCACTTATCCAGATTGTCTTCTCCTGACGAGATCCTTGTTTGTGTTGCATCTGCTCTCAGATGTACGTCGCTTTGGATAAAAGCTAAATGAAATTCACCGACTACCAGCTGTTGGTTTTAAAACAAAGGGCTACGAGTGGTTCCTATCATATGTAAAACAGCTTTACACCTAAACACTACAACTGAGTGACGTATAAAAGGTTTTACAAAGCCGACAAGCAGCCTCCTGAAGCAACAAAGTCTGGAACCATTGGTGTAAAAGTCTTGCAGATAAAGAACCATGTTGAAGACTAATAATCAGTCAGCGAATGTACCCAGTGACAGAAAGGTTACACCTGAAAAGCTGAATTTAAGGAAGAAAATGAGCACTAAAGACGTTATGGTTCACAAGAAAAGAACAAGATGTGCAACAAGGAAGCTAAATCAACAGCTGCGTACAATTTATAAGGAAATAATTAAAAGCTAAGCTGCAATATCCAAAGGTGGCAGGAAACGACCCAGCAGGCCAACGGAGGCTTGGATGGACGACAACAAGAGTAAAAACAGCAAGACTAGTTTGGAGAGACTGTGGAGAAGGCGTCATTAGAAACAGGAGAGGAATCAATGAACACTTCGCAGCATATAAAGATCACAGACGGTGAGAGAGAGAGAGGGAAGGAAAACGAGGAGGGCAGTACCTCGTCAGTCAGGTAGTAGATTTTCCTCAACATGCTGTGTCGAGCCGTTTCCACCTCCTGCGGAAAGACAAGAGGATTAAAGATCAAAGCTGGCGTTGTATGTCTCAGTGTTTACGACCGCACCTATGAATCCGTGCTCTGAAATAATGAACGACAAATAAACACAACATCTTTGTGAACTGTGTAAACAAGTCGGTCGACGTGATTCTCATCCCAAAAAGTCGCACATCGGGAACTGAAATCGTCCCGAACACGAGGGAGCCGTGATTAAATTAGTGAAACCAGTTCCGAGGCTCGCTCCGCTAACAGCTGATCAATCGCCAGAGCTCTGTAAACTCATTAAATCTTAAAGATGCTGCATCCAGTGAGCTCACACTTGGAAAATGTGCGTAAAGTCTCCATGCAAAGACTGAACACTTGCCACGAATCCAGTGCAGCTGCAGCAGCTTCTAGATGGGTTAAGTCATGACATATGTTTGCCTCAGGTGTCATTGTGGATGATAACAAAGTGATTATAATCGATGTTCAGAGAAAGCAAAAGAAGCTTATTTGTTGGGAAGACAAAGGGTTAAAAACTTTCTATTTGTTTCTTATTCAGTTCTTTGTGCAGAAGGGAAACGCAGCGTTGTACCTGCGCCGCAGCATCCTGAGAGAAGATGAAGGAGTTAACGTGAGATAATGCGACCACATACAGGACCGGACTCCAGGAGGGCTTCAGGGTCGCCGTCACCAGAGATCGGAAGTAGAGACGGAGGACGGGGAGGGAGTCTTCAGGCGGGGAGGTGAAGCGCTCGATGGGGACGGACAGCTTCAGACGCAAACACAGAGAGAGGTGGCAAAATAAGAAAATATTATAAAACCACCGTAGCGCTCATCTTCACACTCACACAGCAAAGGCTTCTCACTGGTTCTAACATCATGTCTACTCTATACTGGCTTCTCTCCACTGGCTCCACTAGCCTTGCCCCCGGCTATACTTTAGATATGTTAACCCCGTACATCCCCACATGCAGCCTTAGATCTTCGGGTGGGTTCCTCCTCATCGCTCCAAAGTCGAGGCTCAAATCCGAAGGCCTTTCCTGTGAGGGCCCCTCGGCTTTGGAACCACCTACTCGAGGAAACAAGGCTCACAGGTTCAGTTCTTCTTTTAAATCACTTCTTAAAACCCACTCGCTTTTGAGCGATGTTCTCTTTTAGATTTCCTCCAGTTTCTTTTCCCTTTTATATCGGTATCACCTGCTGTCCTTCTCTCTTTTCTCTTTCTGAATCTACTTTTATCTGCAGCTTTTATCCTAATTCCCCTCTGTGACGTCGTCTTTTTAATCAGTTTTACTAGTTTCATTATAATGCACCTTCCAGCCTGCTCTTTTTCATTTTTATTGTGTATTTTTTATATTTTGAGTGTTGTGTTCCTGTGTCGTCTCGTCTCTGTGTTTTATTTCTTTATCATGTAAAAGTTTTTTGTGAACTCTGTTCTACAAATAAAGTTTATTATATTATTACCTAAAAAGTAATAAAACCGTCAGTACCTGCTCCAGAGTGACCCCCAGTGACCTCAGCATGCCCACGTGTTCTCCAAACACAGCCAGCCTCATGGTGGCGCTGTACCGCCTCTGCAGGGGCAAGAGGACCCAGCAGCCAAACAGCCGATCCCCGAAAGACACGGCTTCGTACTGGGCCAGGAGGGCCGAGTACAAATCCTGGAAGGAGGCCAGACCTGGAGGAGGCTCGTTCAGGTCCAGAGAGTCCAGTCTGGACCCCCTGGAAACGGAGACGTTGTGTTTATTAGGACCCTCGACACCTATTTGAGCTTCTTTCAAAAAAAAAAATTGAAATCTTTCTTTACTTTTTCTTATTTTTTGTATATAATTATTTATTTAGCGTTACTGTGATAAAACTATTTCCTTTGTGGATCAACAAAGTTTATCTAAAATGTTCTATGAGACTTATCGGACCTTGTCAGCAGCCTGAACAGACCCCAGGTCAGTTTCTGAACAGGCCTCTCCAGAAACAAGTCGCTGGAACACAGGAACACGCAGGACAGGCGGGCCAGCTTGGCCACAGGAAGGACCACCTGCAGGATTACAAAATAAAAGACAGAAACACATGAAGAGACGCAGAGAGACACAAAAGGACTCTGACTAGTGTTTATTAACACTCAAGACATCAGTATTGTCTTTATCATTGATTAGTCTGCTGATCAGTCGCTTGTTTTCTTCTATAAATGTGGGAAAATAGTGAATTATTCTGTGTTTATTAGAACTTCTCAGCCGAGGAGGCGTCTTTGTTTCGCTGTACAATCTGTTTGGTTGCTCATAAAGTTCACGATGAAAGAAAAGAGCAGCAAATCCTCACGTTGTAGACGAGTGTTTGTGATCGATGAGTAAAATGGTTCACTGATAATCTAATCAATGAATGAGGGAAAATTGAGTTTTTAAAAAAATCCTGTTGTTATTTCTTCTATTTCATTGTGTCTTTCATTTAACTTCATTGTCTTCACTTCTATTTGCCTGATTCTGTTCCATTGTGGGGCTGAATTGCTTCAATTTGGTTTTTCTCACGTAAAGCTCTTTGTGACTTTGTTTTCTGAGTGTTTCTGTCTCATTGTTGTCGTGTTATTTGATGACTCATTCAGCTCTAACAGTCTGATGAACACGACGTCGGCTGAAATGCAAACTCATGATTACGCTTCTTATTTTCACTCACTTTAGGGAGGTTTTTTCTTTTTCTGATTTTAAGGGTAGAACATGTTTGCTCACAGGTCCTCTGAGGTGAATCTGAGATGCTGAATCATGTACCTTCAGGGCGTCCTCCCTCCAGACCTCCAGCAGCAGCAGCCACTGCAGACAGTGCGTCACCGCCTGCAGAGCCCCCTGAGGGAGCTCCTCCACCGCCAGCCCCCCGCCGTCAGACACCCCGGTTCGCTCGTACAGGCTGACGAGCGGCAGGAAAGGCCAGTCGGACGGCAGGACGGGACCGGTGAGCTCTGGGAGGAGCTGGGATTTGATCCAGGGGTTGTGGCCCAGGAGGGCGTCCCGGGACACCAGCACAGAGGGCTCCAGGTGGGCCAGGTGAGTGAGGAAGCAGCCTCGTATGGACGGCAGCTGGACGCAGGCCTCTCTCAGGAGAGCGCCGACGGTCTGCAGCGACGGAGAGGCGTGGTGCTGCGTCTCCTCGTGGAGCTTCAGCTCCCCCAGCTCCACGGCTTCAGGTCCTCCGCTGTGTCCTTCCCTGGAAGCCAAACAAATAATAATTGAATAAAGTGTTAAAGAGGAACATCGCTGTTGGCAGAAATGGGTCATGGGTTCATTTGATCTTATTCCAAAGAAATGAAGTTTTGAATATAATGTAATTTTGCTTAATTAGATTATAATCATGGGTCGCATTTTTCAAGCAATAATCTAAACAACTATTTAGACAGAAGGTAGCGAACAAAGCAGAAGGTCAGAGTGAGAATTCAGGTTTGTGTGGTCACTTGATCCCTCATTAAATACGAGTAAACCTACGATATAAAGTCCTTGCTGAAGATGATGGTGGAGAGCAGCTCATGAGCCAGATACTCGCTGCCTGGCAGTAACCACGGCAGGAGAACCAGCGCCACCTGGTGGTAGAGGGAAGCATGTTTTGCTACTTCTGGCTCAGTCGGGACCTGAGAAATGTCAGAGAATGGAGAGAAAATGAAGTCAGTTAGGTGTAAAAAAACAACAACATTGATTTATATTAGAAATAGATACACAAGCAAAAATAAAAACCCCAGATGAATCCTGAACCTGCTGCAAAACCAGATAAAGAGCTCTGAACCTGCTGTTTAATACAAATCACATATGAATGAACTAGTTTTAAAACAAACTGTACTAATGTTCAGAGGTTCTTCTTTTGGTTTATAACAAAACACTCCTACGATTTAAAAGAACAAACTAAACTGTATGATTGTGCTCAGCCTGCATCAGGGTGTGTTTCTTGCTGGACCTACCTGTCGGTGCGCCAGCCGCAGCAGCAGGTAGAGGAGGTGGTGTTCATGACGGAGCAGCCAGGCCCAGGTGTGAGACAGCGTGGGCGTGGCCTGACTGCAGCGACGCAGGTAACCAATCAGAGGCTCTGACAGGAGGAGGCCGGTGAACTAAACAGAATAAAATGAAACAGATGAATTATTTATGTGTTCCCACAAGATGGCAGCAGAATTTAACCCGATTTAACGATCAGCCGCTGAGCAGTCCAGGCTGCCAGGAGGATGTAGTTTATATTTTAAACCAGTGGTTCTCAAACTTAGGGTCGGGATCCACATGGGGGTCCCAAGATAATTTCAGGGGGGGTCGCCAGATCATTGGAAAAACTAAAATAAAAATAAAGTCTACATTTATCAAATAAATGTGTATCAGGGCTGTAAAACTAAAAGTGTTTACTTCTTGTAACTCTTTTTTTTTTCATCCTTTATCATTAACTTCTATTCGGCATTTGTGTTCATTGTTTTTCATAAGCATGTGACTTGTTGAGTTGAGTTATGGTCAAACATGTGTGGTATGAGGTCAATGACTTTTGACCACTAAAATCAGTGTTTGTGCCCAATTCAAAGAAATTCCCTCGAGGTCTTTTTCATGTACAGATCCTCGTATATGACATAAAACTCTCCCCTGAGATACTGCTTCAGACTCAACAGGACGTACCTTCTTGCTGAGACCTTTGTGGATCCCGGTGATTGTTTCCAAGAGGAGGCCCAGTCCCGTCAGCAGAGGGAACGGCGAGCCGGGAGCCACCGGCCCGGGACGATCCCTCCATCCTGAACAAGCCAAACCGGGGAGGTTAGGAGTCGTCTCTGGGCTCCGACGACCAGACGGCTGAATGTTGCACACGACTGAGGAAGACCTGGTGTAAAGAAAGAAAGAAAAAGACTGTGCTGTTAGCAATGCAATCACTAAAGGTCAGGAAAACATTTTTGTGAGCAAAAGCAGTGCATCGTCTGATTAGAGATGACATACAGAAGTAAACAGTAAATCAGACATACTCAAGATTCTTCATCAGTCCTCGCACGGCGTCGTGACTCATCAGAGGGAGGAGAACCTCAGATGTCAGCAGCTCGAGTTCTTGGAGAGTCTCCACTGGCTTGAAACAGTTCTGTGGAACAGAAACACAAATATATGTGTTCAATCATTTGTTAAAACACTTGAAATTTGTGTAAAGGAGCTCAGAAATGTGTTTTTATAAGCCTCAGACATGTCAGAAGAGACTGGATTGTAGAAGGTAATTTAAGATCCTTTCTGATTTTATTTATTTACTTCTATGAACACAGAACACGGAACAGGTTCATAGCTTGATCAAGAGTTCCTCAGATTGCAATGAATCTACTGCACATATAAACCAGTAGGAGGTATGAGGCAGGAGGCAGCACCTGTCTGGACAGCTGATGGTAGTAAGCCTCCAGGTAGACCAGGTAGGCTGGGATCACAGTGAGGCTGCTGTCCCTCTGAACCGGATCATCAAGACTCTTGACGAAACCCTTCAAGTGGCCCAACAGGGCTGCCTGCAACCCTGAGACGTGACCCCAGGACACCGGAGGAGGAGGAGGACACTCGTCTCCCTGAGAGCTGATGTAGAAACAGAGAAGGTAACATGTAGAGGATTCAAGACAACGGTGTTCAAATCAATCCACTTCCTGCTGTCGTTCGGTTGTACCTGACGACGCCGGCCTGCAGCTCCTGGTGACAGCCGGCAGTGTGAGTGACTTGTGTGAGCAGAGAGAGCAGAGCCAGGAGGCGCTGGAGCTGCAGAGGTAGCAGAGGATCTGAGGGCGGCAGGACTCTGTGGACGGACTGCAGCGCCTTCGCTAAGGCTGGATACAGGTCTCTGGGGAGGTGAAGCAACCAAAGAAGACGAATTAGAACCTTGTTTTAAGCTGTATGTTGATGTGAGGACTTGTACGGCCGCAGGAATGTAGAGCGACATGAAAGCAAAGCTGTTAGTCTGAATGTGAAAGTTCTCTGACATCAATGAATGGCTGATAAATAGGCTAATCATGATCTGAATGGTGATCAAAGCTTTTCATTCAGGCTCTAACATGCAGCGCTAGTTAGTTGCATGAAATTATTTCAGCTTCAGAAAGCCTGAAAACAGGAACCGTCTGCCACTATGAGAGGCAACACAGCTAATTTGTTTGACCACTTAAAGCCCCACAAAGCTGATGAGCGTGAAGCCACATCTGACTGCCATCCAAAGGGGAAATAAAAACTATTTTGGATGCCTTTGCCAGCGTTACGCTGCATGAGAAAGGCTCCAAGTGGTTCACAGTGTAAATAAAAATACAATAAAATAAAAAAATCCCACAATTTTTTCAGTCTTTTGAAAATTATTTTATATTTTTGATGCAGAAAATGACTCATAAAATTCAAGCCATCTGGTGAAAACTGCTGCGTGTCTTTATACTGCAGAGTTTTAACCATATCATGCAGCTTTAATTTCAACCATAATTTACTGTGTATTGTTGTAACCGTACACAAAACAGCACGCCGCCCACCGCCGCGTTTTCTCAGAAATGTTTTCCCTCCGCTCGCCAATCAGGCAGCTGCTCACTAACACGACAGTCGCAACGATGCTATGAGCTGACGATGTATCAGTCTGCTCCGACTCACATGTATATCCTGCAGGCCTGTCCGTAGCCGGCGGCCACGGCCCACAGCCTGTAGGCCTCCGTGGTGACCCTGAGGGCCTCGGTCGGCTCCAGCAGCAGCTCGCCGGGCTCAGCGCTCAGGAGGCAAGACAGACGCTCTCTGGCTCCCAGAGAGTTCAGCTGGAGAGAGGACAGAAGGAGACAGAGATGGAACGATGCACTGTATGGGAGGAGCATTAAAGCATCAATATTCATCTTCTGTTTCAAATGTGTTCAAGTTTTCTGTTTCACAAAGAATCCCAGATCCATGGAGATGCACATTTGTGTTCCCCAGACATTTTCCTGCAGCCAGTAATACACAGCTGTTATTTAAGACATCATCACTAAACTGAGATTATTACCAGTCTGGCACATGCATGCCTGCCCGAGGTTGCCAGAACCCTCAGCAGCTTCAGGGCGCTGGCCAGCGGGAGTCCATAGACGGACTGAGGAGGAATTGGAGACGACGGTGACCAGGAAGTGGGAAGGAACTCTGACATGACCGTCTCCATGAGGCGGGGGCAGTCCAGCACCTGAGAGCGAAACACAGCAAACAGTAAAACAACGACTCAGCAGCAGAGCGAATGAGTCAGCAGATTGTTGTCACCTGTGTGGCCGAGGAGGACGAGTGCCGAGCGAAACGCGTCAGGATCTCCAGGACGTCCTGAACCACCCGAGGCGACGGTCGGACCACCTCCAGGATGTAGCGAAGCCGGGGCAGCAGTTTCATCCTGAGCAAGCCCTGAAACACACAAAACAGAGACACAACAACATTTCTCAGCCTTCACAGATGAAGCTCAGGGAAAAGTAAAAAAGAAGAATGAACTCGTTTACCTTGATGACGTCCTGGCTGGCCACGTCGTGATCGCTCTTTCTCTCCTCCTTCTCCTTCGCCGTCTCCTTCAGAATCTCATCCAGACCTTCATCCTCCTCGTCCTCCTCTTCCTGAGCAGTCGGGAGCAAAGGGAAGGAGGCCAGACCACGGAACCAGGAGAAGGTGGAGTCCAAACACTCCTGAGAGGGGAAGCAGATCCAGTAAGACTCTGGGGAGTTTGTCACTGGGTGCACATATTTGTACAGTGTGTTTTCTTTTATGGATTCATTTTTTATTATTATTTCTTTATATTGCCACATTATTTAATTTATATTTTAGTTATTCTTCTTTTTATTTCCACTTTTATTTTGTTGATTTATTTTTGTAATGTGGTGCTCTCACTACTCCATAGTGTGGCTTCATTTACTATTTTCCTAGTAATTACCGTGTTATTACACATGATGGATGCACTGCTCAGGCTGATCTCACCTCATCTTCTGCAGACACGAGGAGCGCTTTGAGGGCATGCACAGCTGCAGACATCACTCCCTCCACGCCGTCGTCCAGCGCAAACCGGAGCAGAAACAGCAGGCCGGCGTCCAGCAGAGTGGACACCATGCTGCCTCTCACAACCGACACATACTCTCCAGCACGAGCCTAGAAGTCACAAAACGCAGTCACACAACCGACCACAGGTACGTTTCTCTGCAGGTGAGCTCGACTCTGGGTGGGCGAAGGTTCGGTACCTTGGAGAGGATGTTGGCCAGAGTGCTGAGGGACAGACTCCTCTGCTGGATGATCTGACTCCGAGACAGCAGGAAGAGTTCCTTCAGGGAGTAACCTGCCCGCTAGGAGGAAACTCTGGTTTATTATCCAGATTTATTATCACATAGCAAAAAAAAAATGATGTTCTTAAGTTCATAACGATGCTTTTTGCTCATTCACTGGTCTGATATAAAAACAAAGACAGAACAAAGTTGTCAAATGTTTGCTCAAAGAAAGTTTTGGTTTCTCTGTATGACTCAGGTCTTCACCTTGCTACTGGGGCAGAGGCAGGAAGGCTTTAGAACTCAGAATCCCCAGGTTCATGAAGAATACATCTGAAGGCTTTATATTGATTTCATTTCCCACGAAACAGAAAAAAAAGAATAATAAAAGAGGAACTTTTTTGTCTGGTTGCTGACTGACCTCAGGTTCCTCTCCGTGGTGGTGCAGACCTAAGTGGGTGGGCAGATCCTCCGTGGGCGCAATTAAGCTCCCCGTGAAGTCGAAACGAGCCTGCATGGCCTGACAGGACACACAGAAACACCTGGTTTCAAACACCTTTCGAGTTCCAGAAGAAGTGAATAAAGTTCTGAAATCATCTCCTCACCTTCTTGGTTCCTTTTCTTCTGGGTGCAGGCAGGTCTTTCATCCACTCCAGCTTCTCCGGCTCCAGCTTGTCCATGTGGACCCAGTCCTTCTGAGGCTTCACTGGCAGGTCCTCCTCTGGATTCAGAGACACAACAGTGGCTTAGATCACTTTATACATGAGAGACAGGAGCCTCGGCGCTGTTCTTTAAGAAGCATCTGGTCATTTATTCTCAACACAATATAAGAATATATTATCTAAAATGGAAGGGAGCTGAGGCAGCAAATAATCTAATGACAAAAATGACTGTGTGATCCATTAGCGACACGTTCATTAGGGCTGAGGGGTTGTTCTGAACCTAATTGCAGAGAGTGGCTGGTCCTGGCTCAGTGGAGTCAACAGGCAGCTTTAGGTTTGGATTTCATCCAGGCAGCAGAGGCCTCTTACATTAGTTATCCTTCTTAAAAAATTACAGGATGGATGGTTTGGAAAGTGGAGCAGCGAGAGAATCCAAAAGACAAATGTGATGCAGGGGAGAGATAAAGGCTTAAAGGAGGAGGAGAAGCTGGCAGACAGCCGTGTGTGATGGACAAACTTTCTGATTTCTCCCCAAAATCTAGTGATGGACAGTCGTAGCAACAGGATCTCATTCTCATCAGGAGAGGGCACAAGATACACCAAATTCATCCTGTAATTTGAAGTCATTTCTATTTCCAGTATCAGCAGCAGGAAGTGACAAGCAGCGAGTGATAAAAGCCTTTATTCTGAATAAATCATACCCGTCACAGCAGGTGGTGGTGGTGGTGGCTCTTCCTCCTCCTCTTCCTCCTCGTCTCCTTCCATCTCCACTTCTTGGCCTTTATGAAACAGCACATCAGCACTGGAAGAGTCTCTGCCTGTATTTTGAAGAGAAAGGTCGTCCTTGTCGGTTTTGTCCTCGACGTGTTTAGACGAAGATGAAATGATGCTTTGGGCTTTGCGGGATCGAACAAACTCCACCAGCCGAGGATCTAGGAAGCAGTGGTACGAACAAAACGGGAAATAAACAAAGGTTCTAGTACAGATCACGTCTTTATTTCCATGTACAGCTCATCAGGTAATAATTAAAGACCACGTAGACACACCGAGCTGAGATAAGAGTTTCTTCTGCTCCTCCAGTATCTCAGACTGGGACATTGCTTGAAGCTTGGCCTGGTTCTCCTTGTGGATCCTCATGGTCTCTCCTGAGCTATCTGGGCCGGCCAGCCCCTGACCTGAAACCAAACTGGGACCTGCAGGTGGTTCTGGTGAACAGAGAGGAGCAGAGCGAGAAGGAAAAAGAGGCTGAAATATTGTCAAGAGAGGAACGTTCAGTAAAAAGAGGGATCTTAATAATTAGGACACAGTTTCCTTTGTGGTTAAGAGACATACGGTGCCGGCTACATCTGGGACAGCGAAGTTCAAGCCTACTTACGATCTGTGTCCATACTGGTGTCTGACGGGAGGCGCTGCTCCCTGAAGTCTGGCGTCTTTCCCTCCTTCAGTCTCTGAGCAGCAATCTGACGAGCAAAGATGCTCTTCTTTCCTCCAGCTGACGACAGCGGCGCCTTTGGAAACATTTTAAAAATATATCCTGTTCAAAGGTATCTCACGATGTATTCTGTTTTAGTTTGTGTAGAGAAGCTTCAGACGGGGAGGGATCTCTTCCTGGAGGACAGTCAGTCCATCCACGGGGCACAAAGGCTCACTGGATGATTTGATGAGCAGGAAAATTATGTGAATCATATGTTACACTGCTGCAGTCACCAGATAAAGTTTTTTTTAAATTTGGGACTCTGTGTTTTAGAATTTACCATGGGAATCAAAACACCAAATGAGTGAGAATCTTTTGAAAACCGGTGCTCATTGCAGCATCAGGGTTCCACAGACTTACAGAATCAACGCCGAGACACAACAAAGCTGCTCCAGTGCACATAGTGAGACACTGGCCGTCCTTGAAACGGTCCCATATTCAATATCAGTCTTAATATTCTACCATCTCTGAATGTCCCTCAGTTTAGCTGCCGTAGAGCTAATGATCAAAGCTAAAGCTACGTTTGCTCCTTTAGCTGCAAAACACACTGAGGATTTTCAATTGTTGTGGCGCCATTGCATTTAAAAATAAAAGTCAGTCACTGCATCTTTAGCTCATCTGATGCTGAGAGTGCACGAGGACTCTTGTGTTCACTCTTGCAGCCAACAGCAGAACATTCGTTGAGTTTTGCTCTTTCTGATTGGCTCAGCTAGAAGCAGTAGCGAGTGAGGCAGCAGGATTACAACAACCACCAAACACAATGAAAATATGTTTTCACCATATAAACGCTTCACCTTATTACTTATCTGTATGTGTCCTAAATTTAAACATCCTCAGTTCCCTGCAATGTTAAAATAGAAACGGTTTTTACACTTCTAAATTCAAAGCATGAAAAAAGAGAGGGCATCATTGCCTCTAACCTGGTTGCTGGTCTCTGAGCGGTGCAGCACTTTGGGGAAGGCGATGCCTGTAAATGCTGGTAGAGATATTGGAGTAGAGCTGGTATCTCTCTCCTTAGGGCAAAGAAATAACCAACGTTAGAGTCAATGAAAGACACAGTGAAAGTAATCTACAAACAAAAAAACACACGTCTGGAGAACTGACATCTGCAAATCGAGGGTTGTGTTGTGACAGAATGTCTGCATGTACAGTTCAGTTTAATCATCTGGTTTCACACTTACAACGATCTTGGAGAGGACAGCGCTGATGTGAGTGTCGTGTCGGTCCAGCCTGTCCTCAGGATCCTCGTCTTCAAAGGTGACGCGACCGGCTTTAAAGCGGGACTTCTTAGGAGGGGCTGGCGTCAGAGAGGGGAGCTGGTCTGGAAGATCTGCAGCGAACACAACAGCTGGACATCAGCTTTCTGAATCAAATACAGATACAATACATGGTTCACACAGTTGTTAGATGATTCAAAGGCCTTTAAAAGCCTTTTTAGATCATTTGGTATGTGTGAGGCTGCAGGTGGCTCAGTGGTTCACGTCCCAGTGAGGACACCCGGGATCTTTGTGCGTGGAGTCTCCATGTTCTCCCCGTACAGCGTGGGTTCTCTCCGGGTTCTCCGGCTTCCTCCCACAGTCCAGAAACATGCTGAGGTTTATTGGTGATTGTAAATTGTCCGTAGGTGTGAATGTGAGTGTGCTTGGTTGTCTGTCTCTAAGTGTAGCCCTGTGATAGACTGGTTACCTGTCCAGGTGAACCTGCCTTCACCCTGAGTCAGCTGGGATAGACTCCGCCCCCCATGACCCTGGTGAGGATTAAGGTGTAGAGATGATGGATGGATGTTATGTTATGTTATGTGTGTCTCTATATGCATCCTCAGCCCCACCCTCAGCCATGAAACTCTCCAAACACGTCAGTTACTAGTGAATAAAAGTGATCTTCCACCTTCTATGGTGACCACATCCCTCTGGCCTCCTCCAGCCTCCCCGCTGGCTGCCTCTCCCTCTCCGGCCTCTCCTCTCCTCTTGTCGGGACGGCGGACCACATTGGCAGCAGATGGAGCACCGGAGGTCAGGAAGCGCTCCTGCTCCCTCAGGAGGTCTGCCTCCGAGTCGGTGGGTTTGGGACGCCGCAACATCCCTCTGAAGGACACAGAGGATGACAGATGATGCATCTTTATGTCTTTGCATGTTGACTTCCTCACACTTCAACCACACAGCATCCCTTCAACTCCTAAATCCTCTGAGTCCTGACACCAGTGGATGGATGGACAGCCCAAAACACAGAGTGTCACAACAGAAAGGAGATAATAAAACAGACTTTACTAACCCTCCTGTCAGCAGATAACTCACAGTGTGCTCAGCTTTTAGACACTTCTGGCAAATTAAATTAAATAAAGTCAACGTGATTTGAGGGTGAACTTGGTTAGCGTGGCTAATATTAAAGCTAACTACCATCGTTTGAGAGCACAAGAAAGCACAGAAAGGAATAAACTTGAACTAATTTCAGCCAAAAAACTACCTACACCGAGCTGGATGTGGTTGTTTGGCTTTCACGTGTAGTTAAGTTTACATCCGACACACACACTCCGGATGAATGCGGTGAACGTTAGCTAAACGTTAGCTTCACATCTTAAACCGCCTTCATTTGAAGCCGTAATTATCCGAAACCAAACCAAACATCATCTCCTAAAAGTGTGCGGTTCTGTTGTTTGAATTAGAAGAGGGACAGCTAACCTTCAGTGTCGCTTCAGGATCCTGGTTGAATTTTAAACTCGACACTTGTTCACACGGACGGTTTTTAGTGTGACACAACAGACGCTGCCTTCAAAATAAAAGCCCTGCCGCAAAGCGAAAGAAGTCGGTTGACTAAATCGTTCTCCTGCTAAAAAGATCAGGTATTTACAGTCTGTTTTAGAGGCAGGTGTCCCGGTGAGTTGTTGGTGAGTGTGTCAGTGTGTCCTTGTTGATTTATGGCACAGAGAAAGGAGGGTTTTCAGGACATCCCGTGTTGTTCTTCCTCCTTCCTTCAGCACACTAAACACACTTCATCATGTCCAAGTTCAGCGCAGTGGTTTGGCCGAAAGTGATTTTATTTGGAGACTCCATCACGCAGGTGAGTTATTTGCTGCACTAATAATGAGTTTACAGACAATAATTATCGTGCATTTAGTCTGTCTTTTAATTGCTGTGACTTAGCTTTAGCTGCTAGCCTGCTAGCTTGAGTTTGGAGGTGATTCAAGTGTTGTTGAATCTTTCAGTTTTCATTCCAAGCCAATGGCTGGGGCGCAGAGCTGGCCAACAAGCTGGCAAGGTGAGGAGTCCCATTTGTTGTTTGTTTGTTTATTTATTTGTACACTTGTCGTAGCCTCAGTGCCACTGATAAATAAAGTAAAATCTAGTTAAAAGCAGAACAGATTTCAGGAAATGTTTTGCAGCTCTCTCTCAGATTTACTTCAGTCATCATAAATCTAAGTTCTGCAAAGATCATGTTGGCTGAAGGTGAGTTTCTTGCTTTTTCACACCTGGAAATTCTCTATTTTGATTTTTGGTAAGTCATCTTATGGGTTCATCATCCTTAGAAATATAATTCCCAGATCCATGAAAGTTTGTAAGGACACATACAAAAGGTTTTCCTGCAGATCCAAGCACAAGATTTTTAAACAAGACTCCATAAAAGTTCCTGTGAGTGCATATCAATGGATGGATCCACATTTCCTTCTAGAAAACAGCCCTGTGTCAACATGTGTGATGTCTAACATCAGTAGAACTGGATGTGTGGCGAGCCAACGGTCTAGTTTGTGTCTTTTTCTTTTCTTTTTTTGGTATTTTGCCAAAATAGTGATGCAGACTCATTCATAGGACCGAAAACCTGGTGTGCATATGGTCTTTATATGTGGTTATAAAGGTTAGAAGCTGCTTTCATGTCATGAGGCTCAACACATGAGGCTTATTTCACCTTTTGAATGTTGAACATTCGCATACATTTACCTGAAACTACTGATAAATCAACACACATCAGAATAAATCTTGTGTTAATTAAAACACATCATGCTTAAGCAGTGAAGCAGCAGATCTGTGCTGTACTGAAACCAACAGAAGAAAAGTCACAGTTCTTGAACTGATTAACATTTATTTGCAAGAAGGAAATTCTCAAAAGCCATTTCAGTGTCTAGTTTGCAGTTGGAGCTGAGATGGTTGACAGGACTTGTGCTACCCGACAGATACCATCACACAGAGGCCAAAATCTTCACCCTTGAATTCTGCTCCTCCTGATTCTTGTCGGTGGTCAATCCCAGCCACTGCTTGCTGTCATACATGTTGTCATACACACTGATGGCATCATTCAGGTGCCAATAGTTTAAAATGTGGCCTCTGCTGGAGCTGGTTGATCATGTTCGTGTCCTCAACAAAGTTCATGGCTGTGAGAGTTATAGTTCATAGAATGTGGCTGCCCAGGTGAGACGTCTGACAACGTAGAATCCTCAAATTTAGTTTTAGGTCCCAAAAACAAACAAGTAAACTCAGAATCTGAGACACCAGCGCAACACCTTTACCTGAAATGACCGGACTGACCCAGTTGTGCCTTTGACTGATCTCTGAATCTGTTTCCCCCTCAGAAAATGTGATGTTGTGAACAGAGGACTGTCTGGCTACAACTCCAGATGGGCCAAGATCGTTCTTCCTCGCTTCATTAGCAGCCAGAACTCAGCAGACAGCAACATAGCAGCTGTTACCGTCTTCTTCGGAGCCAACGACTGCTCGCTGGAAGGTAAAGACTCACTGGACTGGATCTCTGTGTGCACAAATCATACAGACTAGTTTTCTTCTCCAGTTTGTATGATGTCTCGAGATGTAGTCTAAGAGAAATACACGTCATCAAGGCGGTTTAGGTTTATGCTGATCTAATGCTTTTTGCAGCATTAGGGGGAGGAGGAGTCTGAAATGTGCTGTCAACGTCTGAAACACCGTCTGTCATGATTAATCAGCCTCTCTGATGATTTCGCCTCCTTCCATCTGCTCACAGACAAGAACCCTCAGCAGCACATCCCTCTGCAGGAATACTCGGAGAACCTGAAGGAGATCAGCCGGTTTCTGACGTCAGCCGGCGTCTCGGCAGACAGAGTCATCTTCATCACTCCTCCTCCTGTTAACGAGGCAGCCTGGGAGAAAGAGTGCATCCTCAAAGGTAGCATCTGCACCACAAGTTTTCCTTTTTTTTTTTGGTCCTGAATTGACCTACAAAGCTCACGAGTGTCTCCTTGTGTCGTCTCCAGGTTGCCCTCTCAATCGCCACAACTCTGTGGCGGGGCAGTATGCGCAGGCGTGCGTCCAGGCGGCTGCTCAGTGCGGCTCGGACGTCCTGGACCTCTGGACGCTCATGCAGAAAGGTGGACAGGTGAGCACAGCGGGTCTCGCATGTTGATATGCAGTATAGAGAGAGCCGAGATCTAACAAAACAGGAAACTGTCAACTCTCATCTGTAATCTTTAATAATTACAAATGGCTCGAGAAGTAAAATGAAATTAATCTAAGGACTCGTCTGTGAAGGTTCTCAGCCATCCAGGTCACAGTTCTTCTCGTAGTTTAATCGTAGCAACTGGACTTACTTGAGTTCCTTGAAGATGTTTCATCCAAGAGGCTTCATCGGGGGAGTACCACTGATTCACATAACGAGGGGGAGGAGCAACAAACCCCCAATTGAAACCAAAACTCAGGTGTTCATGTCTCCTTCAGGATATCACTATCTGGAACTCCCAACTAGTCAGTCAGACCTGATGGAGCCTCTTGGATGAGAGGTGGAACGTCTTCAAGGAACTCAAGCAGGTCCAGCTGCTACGATTAAACTACCAGAATAATGTAATGACATGTCTGTGAGCTAATCTGCCGTTCAAACATTTTCCTTCCTCCACTCTGCAGGACTACACCGTCTACCTCTCTGACGGGCTGCATCTCTCAGACAAAGGAAACCAGTTCGTGTCCGAGCACCTGTGGGGGCTGCTGGAGAGCCGTCTGGCCGAGCTGCCCTTCATCCTGCCCTACTGGGGCGACGTGGACCCCAAGAGCCCCGAGAGCAGCCTGCTGAGTGACCAGTAACGGAGGACTTTAATGTGGATGATCATTCCTTTTAACCCTGGACTGCTGTGTGATTTCTTACTAACGATTGCGTCAAATGCAAGAAAAAATGAGCAATAAAGATTTTTTTATTTTGAGACGTGTGAAGGTAATGCAAGTGAAGAAGTTAAAAAAAACAAAAGGAATTCAGTGATTGACATTAATAACACAGAAGCATCAGGAATATACACATCATGTGATCTGTTCACTACGTTCTACATCCATCCTGCAGAATAACGGCTAGCTGCACAATCTACTGCTTTGTTTTTTTGACCTACAGTGAAATACGCGTTACAGTTTCAGCAGGTAACAGTGGTCAGACAGCAGGTATAAAGAGGCGCACGGCTCACATTTAACCCAGACTAAAGCATCACTGGAGCATCCTGCGCTTCGTGAGTGTCATGTGATGGTCACCTGATTAAACCTGCACACAAATACATCGGCACGGAGCAGTCAGGCACAAAATCCAAAGAAAAGGCACCATATTGTTTTCAACCACAGCACTACGAGAGGTTTAACAAGATTACAAAACTTATTCCTCACTTTAATTTTCACTTTCTAAATTCGTTTAACACTAAGGAAACCGCTCCGTCTCCCTCGCACAGGATTAAAACGCTGCATCCACAGGAGTTACACAAGCCTGCGATTTTTTTTTTAAAAAAAGAAACGGCACAGAAGGAACATGAATAAAACTTCAATTCTCCAGTGATGTTAAAATACTATAAGTGCAGTAATGACACGGATTAAAGACGCTTCTTTAAAGAAGTCCACCAACGTAACAAATCGCACTGAAGCGTTTCCTCTACTGGAACAGAACCATCAGTAATGTGTTCATAACTCACCCGCTGCTCTGTGGTGGCTGCAGAGGTAAAGCAGTCGGTCTTAATCTGGAGGGCTTTTACTTGAATAATTAATCTGTTTTTTTGGCTCTGACGACTATTTGCATATTCGAAACCCCTTCAGCCACTGGGTTATGAGAAGATGATCATTAACTTATGTGTCTGAGGAGCTGGCTCGCAGCAGATTTATGTCCTTGACCTTCTCAGACCTCCAGAGCTTGAACTGGCCCAAAAGGCACAAAAATGTAAATCGACTAAACAACGTGTGCAGTTACAGGGATTGGAGACTTCTCGTCTGTTTGGTGGCTCACTGTAGGCGACTGAAAAAACACATTAGAACACTAAGGTCTGACCTACACAAGGTGCATTATGTTACACTAACAGATACTGTGGTGTGATAAAGACTAAAGCACGTAACGCTGCATGTGGTTCCGTGTTCCCTAAAAACAAACATCAGGATGCATGTTGGTTCTTTTAAACAACAAGAGCTGCTTGATGACTCTCAGCACTCTGTCTCTTTAGTGTCAATGCACTCCTGCCTCTTGAGGCGCCGCCGGTCCCTGGCTTGTGGGTTCTGTTCTGTCAGATCCTCGTAGGAGGATTTCGTAGCCGACGAGCAGGCTCCTGCGGTTGTGAAATCGTCCGACAGGCCCTCCTCTCCCAGGGGAGAGTCGCTGCTGGTGTCCTCCTGGATGGTGGCCATCCGCGGCCCCCCTGCGCTGTCCGGGGTGGGGACGTAGCTCGCGGCGGGGCCCGGGGTACTGCTGCTGCTGGCCGCGGGAGGGGCCCGGGCCTGGCTCAGCTGCTGAGGCTGCTGGAGCTGGGAGGAGGGCGCGGTCCGGCCGCCGGAGGAGGAGGGAGGCTGAGGTGGCTTGACGATGCGCACGGACGCTGACTCGAGGTTGTTCAGCATGTCTTGATTCTGTAGAGCGAAGGCAACATGTGAGGCGGCGGGTGGCACATCAGAACCGTCTGTGTGTGACTGAGGTGGGATCCATTCCCTTTTTACTGCATTCTGGTCCCTTCAGACAATCCCAGTTTCTCTTGAGCTGGATAGTTTAACACCCAAACACCATCTTACTCTTACATGTTACTTCCATGATGTTTTAAAACCCGATACCTTCAAGCTATCTCCACCCCCATTAACACCCCCGATATCCAACTTAAAGGTGGGAATGAGTAAAATAAACCTTTCTGCTTGTGGACATTTTGAGTTGTCAAACAGAGACGTGACTATTAATCATGGCTGCAGTCCTTTCAGGGGCGCCAGGGTCCGAACACTGTGCGACCTAATGGCACGCCTAAATGGAATAAAACCACCATTAACTCCACTTGTTGCCTCTGTGCTGCTTCTCCTGCTCCAACAAGTCAAAATGTCTGCTGTGAGAAAGGTCCACAGAGGAATGTACCCTCAGTCTACGAGTTCCCAGTCAAGCCTAAAGAAGACTTAACACAGAGCAGACAGCCATGGAAAAGAAAAAGAAAAAGAAAAAGGAACAATCACCTAAACACCTCATCTTGTTGTGACTCTGAACAGCAGCAGATGCAAACTTAAAACGTCGACACACACTGCATCCGATTTCACAACAGACAACAAGGTGCAACCTGTCGGCTCCTCTCGCTGTTTGAATACTCCTAAAATGCAATCTTGCTTTCTTGAGGTAATTTCTGATCAGACGTTATCTCTGCGTGGATGACATTTGTGCAGAGGAACGCGCTTGGAGCTATTTAGTCGCATTAAACTGTTTCCCTGAGAAGGGGCCTCCCGTACTTCTGCTGTTTAATGAAGCTTAAGGGCTGGAGGTGAGCAGCTGGATCAGTGATTACATCAAGGAGTAAGTGACTGCAGGAGTATCCCAAACGTGGGCCACTGACTGACCATGCATCATCATGGACTCAATGGCAACGCATCGCAACACCAAGCCATGGCACACACACTCACCTATGGCGGGAGCTCTACTACAAACTTCCACCATCTGCTGCAGTTCCAAGGCAAAGAGTGATGGACAGGTCATTGAGAAAACCCAGCAGTGACAGTGAGGCCATTACTGATGGGACCGTCTGACGGCTGGTTCACACAGTTGGAAGAGAGAGCTCTGACTGGTTCTAAATCCATTTGCTCTTATGCTTGTATTTTCAGGACTACGGGTAAATGTAGCACTAGATTTGCCTGAACTCTGCAATCAAATGTAAAAAACAAAGACTCAAGTTCAGGTGCTCAGCTAGTAGACTGGATAGTGGATCGGACTTGATAGAGACGAGCAAAGACACCAAATATTTCTATGACGAAAATCTGTTTTTAGGGCCTTTAAAATTAAGACGTATACAGTATAATAAAAATCTGGTTTTAACCACTGTGAACAGAGACACACTTCAAAGATAAAAGTACAGTCGTGACTCGATAATCTGACACTAAATGTAAAACCTTCTGTTATGTCGGATAGCAAGGCTGTCAGATTGTTAAGGGTCGGATTATCGAGTCACGACTGTATTTACTTATTTCACTGTTGGAAATGTGATCCAATGTATTTTTTTGTTAAACGTAAACAACACTTTAGTTCTAACGGTGGAGATCAAGACGTTTATCCAGAACAAAAGGTAAATACTTGGTCCTCAACCTTTCGTGCTCCCTCTCATTCCCATATTAAAGATGTCAGTGTTACGAAAAGCGTCGTAGGACTGGATTAGTTCGGTTAGTGTGGCAGCAAGGCTAGTGCACACGGTCATACATGAGCTTTTAGAAGATGAGGAACTTACACTCGGAGGGTAGTAGAAGGACTTTGTGTTCTCTGCATACTGCTGGTCGAGTCTTTTGTCCTACAGGAAGATACGACAGAGGACAGGACATCTGATGAAGTAAAATACTAAACTGTAGTAACAGAAGTTTGTGACACAGTGAAGACAAGGGGGCTATTGAAAATAACGGTGTCCGGCAGGTTCTTACCACACAATGAACCAGGATGCTGAGAGGAATCCAGAAGACGAGAGAAAACACCACGACTGAGCCGACTATGTTATCAGCTAAGAACTTCCCTGAGGTCGAAAAAGACAAAGTAAGGACAGTGAGAAGACGATTGCGTTTGAACTTGAGCTACTGAACTCAAGAATTTCTCAAAATTCTATTTGCTTTGGGAACCTTTTCACACATTCTCATATTGTTCTTCAAGTCTTTTAAGCAGACTCTTGTTCTTGTGACCGACTTACCAAATGTGTTAATGTCCAGCTTGTCAATAAAGTCCCACAACCTCTCGATCACATCCTGCACCTGCTTCAAGCACTTTCCCTGTTTAACAAGAGAAAATAAACACCCTCAAATAAAGAAAACATTTACACGATCTCGCCTTGTCCTGTGTTAATGACAAACGAAAACAGATGAACATGACAGAATCGTAACGGTAGCGCTGGCACGTATAGAGGTTCGGTGACTCACGCCTTCGACACAGAAGCCCACAGTGCAGGGTTTTCCTTTGCGAAGGAAAAGGAAGCTGCCGCTGGCCTGGACGAAGGGAGCGCAGGTGCCATCCTTTCCCCTGCAGCACACTTTACAAGAGTTCTCCGTCTCTGCAGGCGAAGAAGATAATCCAGAAGAAAAACATTTAAACTGTAATGCTACAGAGAGCAGACAAGTTTGTTCACAGTGGCAGTGCATAACTTTAACTTGTTTTTCAGAGTGAAACTAAAAGAGCAGACGTGATTCATTTATTCAGATATAACCAGACTAAATAGATAATACGTAAGCCTATAACAACAATCTTTTATTTCCTTGACATGATACTGTCACGTAGAAATATAGAACAATCTTATCTAAATTTTAGAGAAGGTAAAAAAAAATATATAAATTTGTTTAACTGTTACATGCTCAAGGCTTCTGCTTGAGGGCTAAAAATATTTTCATCACAGTTTATTTATGTATTAAAAAAACTTGTATTAATTCATCTTAGTGCACGTTCATTGATTTTTCCATCAAATGTATTGTTTTTGCTCGTCTGGGATGCACTCTGGGACCTCCATGATCAGTGAGTATCTGCTGTTAGAGCTCAGAGCTACAGCCAGTGCACATCTACCCATGATCCTGTAGCGAACACATTAAACGCTCTTTACCATTGCAAGCACAGGACTGCAGGTTCTGCATGGCCTCACAGAACGGGTTACACTCTCCGTTGTGACACCGGCCGTTGTCCACACAAACCGTGTCGTCGGCTGCGTTTTCAGGAGGTGGACACTGGCTGCTGTTACCTGTGATGTGAAGAAACGTTCAGTACATTTAGTTTTTTCTGCAGTTTAAAAAGGCACCGACAGACAGTTTGTTTCAGTGAATGCTGCGGTTCTCGTGTTTCACCAGCAGGAGGCGCTCACCTGTGCAGGAGGATATGCCTTTGCAGGTAGCACTTATGGGTTCCTGACACCTCGTTCCTGCCTGCTCATACTTGCAATTCCTACAGCAAGGGCTGTTTCTGTCACTGTGAAGAGATCCATGCATCCAACATTGAGGGTCTTTTTTCTTTTTTTTTTTTCGAGACCTGCCAGATGGTTTTTGTACAATCTGTCTGTCATTTGGAGCTCATACCTGCACTGTGAGCCAGGTTTGAACTTGCACTCAGGGGAGCAGCAGGGGTCATCGTTGAGGTGCAGTAGCCCGGGGTCACACTCCTCCCCTTCCTCCACTCTGGAATTTCCACATACCTTACTGTTCCTCTCCTTGAAGCACTGAGGAGCCCTGAACCCTAACGTCTTTCTGACGGAGATCTTGCTGCAGTTGGAGAAACGCTTTAGGAGGGAAAGGAGAAGTAAATGGGGGTTAGTCATTAACTAGGACCGGATGTCTTTTGCACAACCATGACAGATGATGTGAGGAGGCATTGTCGCTACAGTACTAGGAAAAAAAAGCTCATGTACATGCAGCCTCATGATGAAAACTCATGATCTTGTTTTAAATATTCTTCTGTGTCATCAAGAGGATCCTGCTTCCAGAGCAGATAAACTCTCAACAGATAAACGACATCATCATATGCATATTGGCTGTCAAGGCCACAGGTAAAGGAGGAACATCATATTTCTGGATTCATTTCACTGGAACAACTTCAACCTTCTGTACGAGCACATTCACACCACTCACACTGTCTGTCATTGTTGTAAAACAGGATATATTACTAACGAGGAAGCAACACTTCCTGTAGTAGTTGGTGCAGATGAGGTTATGTTGAGTTTGAATACAGTTTTTTTTTACGTTACTCAGGTTGGTACCTTGTTGTTAACATGGTCTCCGCTCACAGCGATGGGGTACATGACAAACTTCCCCCCGTGGTCGTCACTGGGAGCGCAGTAAGGAATGTTATCAGGATCGTGCTCTGCTCCGAAGTTATGGCCCAGCTCATGAGTGGTCACCAAGTCTGCCTCCTGATGCAAACACAACATGTATGAGTTTACTACTGGATCTATGGCTTCACAACAAACACACTCTGTTAAATAAATAAAGAAACGCAGGTTATGTACACACAGCTAAAAACAAATGTTTTAAAACTTGACTGAAGTGAAGAGCCGGCAACACACTGATGCAACACACTGATGCAACACAGGTTAACAACATTCTCATAACACCCACACTCTGCTCCACTCACAACCTAAACTTGGCAGGATGACATGTTGCGTAACACCCAGGCTGAAACCCAGTGTACCCAGTAATTAGTTTTGTCAAAGATTACAAGTGGGGGGGTTAGAAAAAAAAGATCAAACACACCTTTGTGAGGATGGTCTTGCCGTAGTTCTTGGTGCTGGTCAGGCCCGTGTTGAGGTAACTGGGCTTCTTGACAGAGTGGGTTGGATAGTACGCTACAAAATGACATCATCAAAGCTTTACAATAGTTCAGAGTTTCAGCATTTTTTTCTTTAAATCTAAGGGCTTCTGACCTCCCTCTTAGTTTCAGTATTTCCCAGACCAGCATGTTCAATACATCCTAGCGTAGGCATTGACTTATACAACCATCCACTTCCCAAGAGGGAAACAGATATTTAGTGATGCTACAACACAGACAGTCTTTAAAACCTCCTGCAGCAGCACAACAGGTCAAAGTATCAAAGGAGTACATATAGTATATGTTTAATGCTAGTCATGTGTTCCTACGTTTTGGGCAGAGGCCACCCAGGGCCTGAGGTTTGGACGGGGCCACGTAGGCCAGCCCCAGGGTCCCCTCATCAAAGTCCTGGTAGGTGAACAGGTGGGCCAGACACACATCGGAGGCTTTGTCCGCCATGTCTGAGCTGAATTGCTGATGAACACAAGGAGAAATGTTCAAATATGATTTACTGACACAAAAACACTTGATAATACATCCATCCATCATCTCTACACCTTAATCCTCACTAGGGTGGTGGGGGTCTGGAGTCTATCCCAGCTGACTCAGGGTGAAGGCAGGTTCACCTGGACAGGTAACCAGTCTATCACAGGGCTACACTTAGAGACAGACAACCAAGCACACTCACATTCACACCTACGGACAATTTACAATCACCAATTAACCTCAGCATGTTTCTGGACTGTGGGAGGAAGCCGGAGAACCCGGAGAGAACCCACGCTGCACGGGGAGAACATGGAGACTCCACTCCACGATCCTGGGTGTCCTCACTAGGACACGAACTGGCGACCTTCTAGCTGCGAGGCAACGATGCTAACCACCGAGCCACCCAGCAGCCCCTCACAATACATTCAGTCCGAATAACATCTACAGCAGACTTGTAGACTCTGATGCTAAGAGGATAAAATGTACAGAACACTTTTCACATCTGTGTGAATCAGGCTTTGATACGGTGTTGGTTTGACAATATAATAACATTTTTCCAATGTTATCCAGTCCCAAGGTTTTGACTGAAAACGAAACATACTCAACTTTTTCTAACCTGGACAGTTTTTTTTTTCTGTTTCGTTCTTAATTTGGCTTTTTTTTTTACCTCCAGAAGTTTCTTCACGTCCCAGACTTCCCTTCCTGAGGGGCTGTCCTCCATGTTATAGTTGACCCAGTGGAGGGGATGTTGGCCAGGGGGAGGCTTCGTAGGCTCCTTGTTAATAATGATCTGACAATGACAACGAAAGACACCGTTTAAGAACATTTTATCGAATGTAGAATAACAGAATTCAACATTACTGAATCATAAGTAACATTATGGGGAATATCTCATGTTATTTTCAATATCTGTTGCAATTGAAAACAGTCCAAGTGGTAAGAACCTCAGACCTGTTAGAACCGTTTTTGTGCAGATAACATATTTGCTTATATCATATTTAAAGACGCTACATGCAGTTCAGTCAGTCAGCAACATGTTTTTAGGTTGTTTGCTTTTAAAACTGTTATGTTCACCCGAACATACTGGGGTTAAATATGACAGTACAAGTTCTTCTTACATTTACAGTATAGAAATGAACTCGAAGCAGCTAAATGAATGCATATCTTTTCAGTGAGACAGCCCGGGACTCACAGTATGGCAAACAGTGTCTCTATTCATTCCCGTAGCCTGTGGAACAAATTAAATTACCCCACAAAGCACACACACACAAAAAAACCCTTCAGTTCCTCTTAAAAATGCTGTTCTCAGTGTGGCTGAGGGACAGTGTTATTCTCAGCCAGTTGTCCGGGAGTGACGCAACACAAAACGGAGCTATCATGTGAAGGCTGAAGGCGGTGACGTCTGGTGATCGGGCGAACGGGTGGAAAAGTCAAATTCAGACGGCATTGTTTCACCAAAGCTATCTCTAACACACCTGATGGATCTGGACCCCGTAGCCTTTGAATTCTTCGTCCCAGGAGGTGTTTCTATAAATGTCGTCAACTCGATCGATGAGCTCGATCTGAAGAGGGACGAAAAATAATCTGATTAACCTAGAAATATATAAACAACAACTACAACTCCTAATTTTAATCACACTGATTATAGATTTTTTAAGGCATTGGGAAATAAAATAACACTGAGTTGTTCCACTAAGCAGGTTTGCACAAAGCATCATAACATCGAACCAGGTAGTTGAGAGTGACGCTCTCCTGTCCGCGGCCCATGTGCTTGAAGAAGCGGTAATCTGCAACCAGCAACAGGGGGCAGGTGTTCTTCTTATGGTCATGAGCTTGTCTTTTCTCTCGATGGTGAAATTCTACAAAAACAAAAAGAGATAGAGGCAGAAGGAGATAGAGTTGCATAATAAGGACAGGCAGACAAAGGGAAAAGCAGGCACGCTTACATAAAAACTGACACCGCACATAAATACATCAATAAGCTAAGTAATGAGGCCACGCTCGAGTATCCCACTGTTAGCTGTCCTCGTTTTCACAATTAGCAGCAGAGAACAGATTAAGTTCTGCCTTTCTACGAGCCAGAATGACTGTTAATATTATAATAGAAGCCTAAATGTGCAGCAAGTATGAATGACTTCTATTATATATATTCTAGCAGATATTCTAGCAGCTGGAAGAAGAAGTCGTCCACAGAAGAGTACAGTCGGTTCCATATGTCGACCACACAGTGTTTAATTATCCACCTACATGGTACACTCATTGCTTTTCTCTCCTGTGTCTAATCTGTTACCGTGTAAATGACGACTAACGGTTTCTCAAGACGTACTTTTCCATGAAAAATGCAAGCTAAGCACGACGACTTCAGCTTCATTTAACTATTTTAACATTTGTCCTGATCATGTCCCTCTAGCCTCTGGGCCACTGGTTGATAAACTATAAGAAAACAGCCAATTAAAATTTCTCAAGACGAAGGTGAACGTGCGTGTAACTTGCGTGGTTTTAATTGGCGAGGACGCCAAACTACAAAAAGTGATCAGTCTGCAAATAAAACCAGCTGAAAATCCTCCGACTTTAGGAATGTTAGGAACTGATAAACCTCGATTAGGTTGATAAAATAAAACCTTAAGAGATTTTTTGAAAACAATTTAGTAAAAATGTACAGTGGTGACTCGATAATCCGACGCTAAATGTAAAACCTGCTTTTATGTCAGATATCAAGGCTGTCGGATTGTCAAGACGGAGGTCCAGATACAAGGAGGGCTTGATGCTGGAAGGATCATTAGTTGTTCATTATTGTTCATAGTTGTTATAATAACTAGTAGGGCTGGTCCCAATAGCACTTTCTGGTCTCTGGATATTCAGGCCCAATTAATGATGAATATCAGAGTATTCGGTGCGGTTGGGGGACACTTCCACCCCGGGGCAGCGCTCTGACGGGATGGAAGTGTCCAGAACACACAGGTAGTACTTGGCTGCTGATGCTAGTTTAGTTAGCGCTCACACTTCTGTTTCTACCATCGGCGGTGGTGGCACCACTCCCCCGCCGCTGCCATCCATGTTTACTTCCACAAACACTGAGCACGCTCGCTGCGTGTGACGTCGTCGTGTCCTCTTCTGCGCATGCGGGACACTTTTGGGTCGTATGAAGTTCACACAGCAGATCAGCAGATAAGGCTGTTTTTTTTATGGGTTCCGTTCGTTTCTCCTAAAGACCTGACAGATAGCAAGGTTTTCGGATTGTTAAGGGTCGGATTATCGAGTCACGACTTGTAATGTAATATATAAATATGTTGGTTAAACATATATGAAATTGAAACTCAGAAATCCTGAGAGGACGCCTTCCCTCTAGCTTCATACACCCTAAACTCTCTGAACACTCGGTAGAACAGAAAAGGACAACAGGAAGACATGCTTCTGAGCATTACATCACCCAGTACACTTGGCTCTACACTACTCAGAAGTGTGGGAGTGCGCTGCGCTGGCTTCTACAACAAGCAGTGGGAGACCAGTGACGACTCAGAGTCATCTCATTGGGCAGCGGAGCTTGCATGAATTTTAATGCCTCCTCCATACGAACCTTCACCTCGGCTTATCTCCCCAATGAGTGCTTTCAACCAGGAACCAGTGAGAGGTGTTTCAGACATCTCCTCTGGCACATGAACACTGTTATGCGCTTTACATTTCCAACGCAGCACAAAAGATTTAAAAGGTATTTGGTTTTTACATAATAGCTACTTGTCAGCGGTGTGTACGTGCGCAGCATACATACAGATTTTCTATTAAAGTCAAGTGTTACAGAATCCAACACCCACATCCTTTGTCTCACTACTACAGCCTCCTCCTTCCTTCTCTCCACCTTAAACATTTGTTATCCTCCTACTCTTTTTTTGGGGGAGGGAGGGAAACAGTCATCAACAGCTCACCGTTTTCCTGGGCCTCCTCCTCCTCCTGCACCTCCCATTCGCTCCTTGCAGTCTGTGGCAGAAGGTCCTGGGCCTCTGCGTGGATGTAACCACACACTTTTGGAGACACAATGCGGGTCAGGTTCTTTATATCCTCCGAGCGATAAACTAGTAGCCTGCCATCAGTTGGGGAATCGGTAAACCTCCACAGGGGCTGGATAGAGAAAAAACAAAGCGAGATGGCATTAAAGAGAGACGCATAGGAAGGTTATAGGTGGAGGAGAGGTTAGCCCGAAAGACATCAGAGCAACACAGCAACAAAAGAAGAGGAAATTATGGATCTACAGATACAGGTGAGGATTGATAAGAAGGGAAGTGAAATAATTAGCAGGCTGGCAGGTGTGCAGCACTGAAGTGTGATGACAATAGATAGATGGGAACAGATAATCTTCCTCATGCAAAATACGCTCAGTCTGTGATAAACTGGGCTACAAGCCATCAGCTATGGAACTGCGTGAACTTCTCCTCGCCCAGTATCTTTAAAATCGACGTCCATAGGTAGCTATTGACAAGTAGTAATTTAATAATTATAAAGAGAGAGCAGGTGACTTTTTCTTGACTTTTACGTGTGGCTTCCAAAATGCTTGTTAAATGTTTGATGCTTTGGATAAAAATGACTGAGCTTGAGTGTAGAAAGAAAATGGCAGAAGGTCAAGTGTCCCTACGTTTGTATTCGACAGAGAAACTGATGCTTACCTCCACATTATATTCTGCTTCATCGGTTAGAATGTGAGCAGAAAACTCATCCCCGTCAATGTGTGCCTGCACACGGGAATTCTCCTCTCCTGAAAAAACAAAACACAAAATGTGTTAATCTACCTTTACACTCTGACCCCTAAATGATCTAAAAATCCCTCACAACCACTCACCAACAACATGTCCAGTGAAATAGTTCTGCAGCTGAACATCATAGTTTTCTTCACTCCCATGTTGGTCCACAAACACAGCTTTGAATTTGTCAGTGAAAAGGTCCGTGTTTGTTGTCAGGTAAAGCTTGAAATGCCTGGAGTTTAAAAAAAAGAGAAGAAGATGAAAACACAATGTCTGTTGGAACTTGAACATAACACACGGCTGTCACAAACAAATATGTGACAAAATACTTTGAGGGTAATTCTTCCTAATTTCGTCATTAATGTTAGTCTGAGCAAATCCATCCATCATCTCTACACCTTAATCCTCACTAGGGTCATGGGGCCTGGAGTCTATCCCAGCTGATTCAGGGTGAAGGCAGGTTCACCTGGACAGGTAACCAGTCTATCACAGGGCTGCACTTAGAGACAGACAACCAAGCACACTCACATTCACACCTACGGACAATTTACAATCACCAATTAACCTCAGCATGTTTTTGGATCGTGAGAACATGGAGACTCCATGCAGAAAGATCCCGGGTGTCCTCACCGGGACGTGAACCGGTGACCTTCTTGCTGCGAGGCAACAGTGCTAACCACCAATCCACCTTGCAGCCCTGTGAAAGGCATTGTTTGTGCAAATAAGTCCAGAGAGTAATGCTGGTAGAAAACTGTCCAATTGTTCGAGTCAGCTAGTTATTTCTAATGTGACAGCTGCACACTGGAGCTTTGAAATTCATTTATTTAAACATTTACTAGAAAGTCCATTTAGGTCAGACAAGGCCCAGAATGAAGGGTACGCTGAAAACCATTTAGCTTTTGGCCAAATCAAAATGAAATTTGTGTCACTGGTTGAATATTCTCCATGATAAATAAAAATCCAGACCTAGTGTTAAAATATATTCATGTTTTTTCTGCATCACCCGCTGAATGCAGTTAATTATTGATGTGGCAACGTGTTCAGTGGTATTACTAATGCACAGTTCATGAGGTTTGCATGTATAACATATTCCCTCATCTAGAAATCTGCGTCGCTTAGGAGAATATTGTTTGGGAAAAAAATTGGTGAAAGGGTGGTGCTATAACTCCCAAACTCTGAACACAACCTCCTCCAGAGCGGGTTAGCTTTGCAGCATCAGTACCATTCAAAAACTCTGGCTTGAGGCTCAGCATACCTTGCCAACCCATTAATGTTGCCATGCGATGCTGCAACATTACTTTAATGATCACACCCAAACGTTGAGTTCGTTTATATCAGACACGCTGCTGTACCTTTGCAGGGCTCTGAAGCTCACCAGTCGCTCCAGGTGCGACTGGGCGTGGACGTCCCTCTTTCTTACAGAGTGCAGCTGGAGGCCTGACAGCGGCAGCACCTCAAAATCTGACAGCATGGAGTTCAGACCATCTGGAACACACAGAGAGCAGGCAGCTGTCATATACAACCAAGTAGAAACAGCATTTAAACTGCAACCAAAAAAATGGCATTAAAAAAACCCTCCATGCCCTGGCACTCAGAATGGGTGTGAAAAGTGAAACGCTTTTATTTTAGTGGGCGAAAGACATTACAAAACACAACAATGTGTGTTGGCTTGTGCCTCAACTATAGTTGCAATCATCACATGTTTACCTGAATCATTTCCTATTTCTGACTTCTAGGAGCTTTACACAACAAACACTGCCTTTTAAAAACACTTTTCTAGTTTAGGATGGTGTAGACAAAGAACGACAAAATCCACAAAAGGAAAACAAACATCACGATCAATATCAGTCAATAAGATCAATCGATAAAGACAGGTTCACTCAATAAATAGCAAAATGCTGTTTCTCCAGTGAGGGTGGAGCACACCTAAAACATCCCAGTTATAACTATGAGGAAGGTGAAAGTTTATAATCATGACAACATGACAAGGAGATCGATTCAATATCCCTCTGTTTGTTTGAGGTGTTTTCCTCCACCCTTGGTGTCAAAGCTAATAACTTTAATACTTGACACTCTCAGGGTTTAACCACTCCTATGTTGTGCTTTCATGTTTTGTTTAGATATAGACTAATTCCCAGCATGTCTCCTAAGTGTCCTTTTAATGGGATTTACGTAGAAACAGCTACAAACACACAGTTCTTACACAAACTGAGCACCACGGTCAAAAACAACATTAATTTACATTAAATAGACATTACAATGAGCTTCCTCGCCTGTTGTTTAACAGCTAGCCAAGATTTGAAGCCTTAACGTTTTGCAACACTAAGAAAAATAAGAGCGTTGCTTATCTCGGTAATAAATACGAAAGTAACATTAATTTATGATAACTGTCATTTAGCCTCACAGCGCCGAAAACTGTTAGCGGTTACCTTTAAGCTAACGTTAGCTTCGGCTAAAATGCTAAGTTAGCTACTCACCGAACTCCGGGTTTTCTTCGTGAGTCTCCTCCTCGGTAACTCTTGGCCTAATGGCACCGTTCACCCAACAAGGAGCCAGAAAGGCAATTAACACTATGCTCCTCATTGTAAAGCCGCTCTGTCGGTTACACATGTCTGGTCATTGTAAAAAAAAAAAAATTACAAAATTGTTTCGTCTCGTCGGCTAGCTGAGCTACTACCCGGAAGTGCGCCGGATGGAAAACATCCGCCGAGGAAGCGACTGAGGCTGCGCGAAGGTCGAAGCAGTAACGAGCCTCCACAATATAAAGATAATCCATCACGAGGATTTATGTGGTTTGTTTGCTCTCTAAGGGTTTACAAGGAAATAAATAAAAAAAAATCCATACAACTCATTCATATGGTGCCTCAGTGGCCTTTTACTTCCACATTTAATTATGAATAAACAGCCGCTATAATAAACAGGCAGTTTATTATGACAGGTCGTATGTCGGTCATTTCATATGTTGTATATTTAAATTCATAGAGGAGTACCAAGTACAATATTTTCATTTGGAATGTGTGGAATTAATAAAGTACAGTACTAACAAATGCATATGCTTTACTCAACTGATTAAATTATATCAAACTCATTCCACTTGTCTTTGACTTTTGCATCACATCTGAGACTTTATATATTATCAAAAATAAAGATTTTAATAATTCAGGATGATGCTGTAGGAGCTGGGCATCGCTGCTCTGGCAACTCACAAATCCTTCAAGGAAAATGATTGCACTAATAAGGTGATTAAGCTAAGGTTTTACACTGTTGAAAGCATAAATATTCAAAATAAATGACATTTCCTGCCCGGGTTTGACATTTGACTATAATGTGTCATCACCATGATGAAGGCAAAAAATAAAACAAGCATTTAAAAACATGAAAGCAGCTTCATAATCAAAGTAAAATGAAGACAAAACGCTTGGAGTCGATTTATAAAATGTTTATTCATGTTAACATAGCTGATACATAGGGATTCAAACAGTTCCACAAGGCTTTTAGGTACTACAATTGAATGAATAGCAAAAGAATAGTGGTCCAAATCTCTAGTGACAATCACTGGACAGACTAACAAATCACCCTGATGTAGGATGTGTACAAAGCTGCATTGAAAATTACTAAACTTGACACTTGGACTTGTGTGTTACAGCAATTGTTCCCCCTTCCAGTGTAATATCTCAAGAGACATGCATGACACAATTGTCGTTTCCCATTAAAAAGGTCCCTGCACTCGGTCAGACGAGATCCGCCGCTTGCTGCAAAAGACATGCTTCAGTGAAAGTGGCACCAAAACCAGGGCAGAAAGTGAGGATTTAACCAACGGACACTATTTGGCTGTGTTACAGCAATTGTTGCCAGCATGTAAAGTGCACAGGCGTCCCTGCAGTATGAGAATTATATTCATTTGAAGTCAAACCTCAGCCGCTGTAACTGTACCATGCAACTGTATAGAGACAGACACACTACGAAAAGATATGAGAGAAACTATTATTTATTTCTAACATTTCTTATTGGAAAACGATCCAGATTTCTCACGACTTCCAGTTGCTCGGACTCTAAATTGAGCTAGGGGTTTGATATCATGTCAAGCTATTAATCACTTTTTTTTTTTTCTCCTTACAGCTGAAACTGCACAAATGGGATGGCCAGGAAAAACATAAACCAAAGAAATGGAAGGTTTCTCTCTTTTTTTTTTTTTTTTTTAAATCAGTCTCGTCCAAATCTGAATTGAAGAATGCTTTTTTTTTTTCTTTTTTTTTAATTAATTATTTCCTTACACTACCATTTTCAGCAGTGGGTTTCATTGGTAGAATGTCTGAGTGGAGCATTAAGGAATGAAGGATGTGTAAAAAGTTTTTTTCCCTTTTGTTGTTTTTGGAAATAACCCTAACAGTGAGGGCTTGTGTGTTTTAGTTCTCATTCTCGCAAGCCTCTCCTGCTTCTCCACCATCGCCCTCCTCGGCAGCACTGTCAGATGTCCATAACTGAGGAAAGAAAGACAGACATTTCGTTAAAATACAGTCAAACATCCAGACTCCATCGCTTCCAAGAACTCAGATTTACATGTTTATACTGAAACGCTTTATTCACGAACCTCTAGAAGCACCACAACACACTTCAGAGCCTTGCTAAATATATCACTGTTCACATGCCAGCGTTGTGTACAGGTGTTCAGTTTCACTTTGTTCTTTGCAGTGGAAGGAGACATTACCGAGATGCGATTGTTAATGCTGCCAGTCAGCTGCTCATTCTGACCAGGCCACCTCGAAGCAGTGAGGGGACAGGATTACCCAAAGGTTAAGCTAGCCTGATAGTTAGGTCCGAGGTTGCACTGAGGTCAAATTCATACTCGCTCGTGAAGCTGCGTTTCTATCTAGTTGTCAGGAAACTTAAGGAATGGCACGAGTAAACGTGTCCGTAGCAGCTTCTACTTCACACTTCTGAATGTATAACATCCACTAAACACAATACAAATGGATTTTCACCATGAAGGACAAACGAGGCACTATTTATCCACAGTGTGGATCATTTTCGTGTCGTGTGAAAGCAGAACACTCACTGTCAGGTTGTCTCTGAGGAGCTGCATGATAAGAGTGCTGTCTTTGTAGGAATCCTCGCTTAGCTGGTCGAGCTCTGCAATGGCATCATCAAACGCCTGGAAGCAAAACCGCAAATGTTAACACACCGAACACAGTCCGTCTCTGGCTGATTTTGGTGAGGAAGTGCTGCAGACCTTTTTGGCCAGTTCGCAGGCTTTGTCTGGGCAGTTGAGGATCTCGTAGTAGAAGACAGAAAAGTTAAGAGCCAGGCCCAAGCGGATGGGATGTGTCGGGGGCATCTCCTTGCTGATTTCAAGTGCACACTCGTATGCATCCTGTGAGTCTATCATGGGTGCTAAAGACAGAGGAATGAATCAAACACAATATGTCAGTGTATGTGTGTGCCAAGACTTACAGCAGTTTAGTTTTAAACCTATGAACATCCATAAATGTTAATTTCACATTCCTGTTTGAATTGTCAGGAGGTCAACATTTACAGAAGACACAGAAGCACAGTGTGTACGGTTTGCTTACATATTCATGAAAAAGACAACTGACACCTTAAAGACTACGTTCTACACAGAACACTAAGAAGCAAAGTGCTGATGCCGTACAAAAGGGAATAAAGGCGGTGATAATGTCAACTCACTTTTTTTGTCTGAAGCGACTTCAGCAAGATATCTATGGTAGTCCCCTTTCATCTTTTGATAGAAGACTTTGCTCTCTGCTTGCTTGGCATTTTTAATTAAATATTCTTTCAGGAGTAACTGTGAAGACAAAAAAAAATAAAAAATAGCACATAAATGGTTAGATCCATGGACAGAATACTGAGCAATACACTTCAGAACAAGCAGCCAAACCACAAACACACCACAGAGAGTCAAAAGGAAATCTCAAAGAACATCAATCACTGAAATCACAGTCTATGTTTATGGGGTTGTCACCGATGCTGCCTTGTTGGGCAAAAAGGTGTGAGGACAAACATCCACTTTGCATAGTACGACACATGATCTAAATGTCTAAACGGTCTACAGTCATTCCTTTTCCTCTTCATATCTGCTCAGCTTGATAAATAACAACTACAGTTCTGCTCCATTGGGAGTCCGGTGCATGTACACATTCACTGTCCTTTAGAGGAACCATTTTGTGTGTCAATTTCAGCTTGAGGTTCTCCAAGTTATCCACCACAAGGCTGAGGTTTGTGCTACGAAGCCGGATTTGAGGTTAGGGAGGTAACTTCAGGTTTAACTCTGGGTTTTCAGGACTATGATGGTACCCCACGATGGTAAATTAACACCTCACCTGCAGGTTCAGGTCAAGATAACTGATCTACGTACAATCTGATAAATTCTCTTGGAAACTAGCATCATCATCATCCTGGAAGGTCCAGATGCTTTACCCTTTCTGTAAGCCCTGTGTGCATAAATATTTTAAAAACCCAACGCTGTTACATCTTTGGATGGCAGCTTTGAAATATGCTTCAATCTAGTATATGGAGTTCAAAAATTAGAACAGAATGACAACTACACAACAACTCAAAGAGACTGAGCTCAGATGATCAATGGCCAGTTTACTACAAGAACTCAGTAACTCAGCAAAACAGCCTAATATTAGTTTTTACAACAATTAGACTGTTAAAATATAACCTGTTCTTCCACACTAGAAAGTAAAGCAGCTGTGAATGTCTAGTCCAACTAGTTGCAAAAAAAAAGAAGGATTTAAACATCATAATAAACAGTGATGTAGCTAAATACAAAACAAATCCCACATTGCTCTGTGGTTCTACTCTAGGTTAAGGATTAATATGAGGGCTAATCAATGTCAGGGAAACCATGACTTATGCACAAACTAAATGACTTCTAGAGCAGCTTAATCCCTTCAATCTAAATTAAAATGCCTGCCAACACCAGCCCTGGTGACAGCGGTTGATCCCTACTGAGAAGATACACAAAGCAAATAAAAAGAGGAAATAAACAGGTTTCCTTCAACGTACATTTACAAACGCAAAAGCAGTTTCCCAGCACAGCAGCCACTCCCTAGTCATTCACTGACATAAGGTTGGCTCAGCTGAAACACGTCTCAAGTGCTAAGCATTCCTTTTTCATTGCATGTCCTGCACAGCAGACAAGGAGAGGAGTAGCTCTGCTCTCAGAGCTTTCACACAAAGCTCTAATTTCAGTGACCAGTGCTAAACACAAAGCACAAACAATATTGCTGGATGAAAGCCTGGCTGGAGAGTGCAAGTGCCTCTACACGTCAAACACCAACTGATGTATGCTTCCCAAATGTGGACTAATCCCTCAAATCAAGTAGCAAGATTAGAACTGGCTCCAGGGGGTCTGGTTTAAGATTGTTGTAGGTATTTTTTCCCCTTTACTCAGCAAATGTGATAATCAGGTAAAGGAATAGCCACCACTCAAATATCAAGCAAGCCTAAGCTCAAAATCCAGCTGGCAAAACCTAATTCACATTTTTGGAGCCCTTCATTTGCTCTGAAGCTCCAGGCACCGAGGCACAGTCCACGATGTCATGTTCTAAACATGTCAATAGGCCTGAATCAGCTGACGCTCTGCAGGGCTTTCAAGCACTGCATTCACGTCCTACATGGAAACTGGAACACAAGCATGTCCACGCCTCTGCTCCTAACTGAGATGCATGTCCATGTGGTATCACTGTTCAGCAAATCAGACAGAGGGGCACACAAGCAGCTCACTTGTCCGTCTTTTTTTTTTTTTTTTTTTGCTCTTTTGCACTTGTGGCTGCATTACTAACGTGTCAGGCTTCTGCAAACAAATGAAGAAATGAGGACTGACACACCCTTTTCTGCTGACAAACCCTCAGTCACCACCGGAGATACTGAGAGCTGAGTCACAGCCATGGAGCACACATGGGAAGCTCAGAAAATGAATGATGGCCCCTACAGGTTTTCAGTGCATTTCAAAAGACAGCAGCTCAGGGAAATTATCTCGATCTTACAGCTAAGTCTCCCTCACCCACATCCTCTAATCTCAATCTCGTCTAATCCATTTTCTAGGCAGGCGACAAACAATGTAAAGCTGCAGTGTAGCATTAGATTAAGCAAGGGGTGAAAGCATACCACCCAGTATTCCTGTAATGCCGAGCCTTAAAGCGTGGTCAGAACGCATTCAATTCGACTGGTTTCAGTTGGAGGCTCTGCAGGATGGTGTCATTGTTGGTGATCTGTCTAAACTGGACTTGAGGGAAAACATGAGTCATTTATGCATCTAAATTCTTGCACTTGGGTAACCACATTAGACTACTATCTGCCAGATGGGACTGCACGAATACTACGCATAGGACACAGCTGGAGGACTACGGCTCACATATCCTGTACACGTCCTGGGTTCCCTCTCTGCCCATTCAGACACACCTTTGCTGAAATGGTAACTGCGATGACCTTTTGTCAGTTCACGCCCTCTCAAGGTTTCAAGCCCATTGTTCTAAATCCAGATTCCCAAAAGGCAGGAACAGTGGGAGGACTGCATAATACTTCCTTGTCCTTCCTCTGGCTTTAGAAGCCATATTCCTACAACCACAGGGCAGGAAACGGTAAAGATGCTACGCCATTTGCCATTAATCATGCCAATATGCATTTTGTGCTCGCCGCAAAAAAAAAAAAAAACGCATGTTAACAAATACATCACGATAAAACAGGAATTATTTTTTACTTCCCCCTAAAGAGCACGATGTTATTGAAAAGATTAACGATGGCTACAGTGATTTAAATATTAGTAAAACATCGGCAAGATGGTCTCCCCTTCACATACAGGTAAGGGATTTAAACTGCGGGGAGGGGAAATACGGATACGTTACCAAAACTTCGTCGCAGACAGCGCGCAGCTCCAGCTCCACCTTTGTCCGATATTGTTTGATCATCTCCAGCTTCTTGTCGCCTGCGTCGGTCTTGTGTTCAATGCTGGACAGCACCCTCCAGGCGGACCGCTTCGCCCCGACCACGTTTTTGTAGGCGACGGACAGCAGGTTCCTCTGCTCGTCCGACAGCTCCTCTGAATTCTCCGTAACCTCCTTCATAAATTTGGCCATGTCTTCGTAGCGCTCAGCCTGCTCAGCCAGCTTGGCCGTCTGAATAAGAGTCGCTGTATCCGTAGCCATAGTTTATTTGTAGGGGGGATGGAGAAAGCAGAAATCCGGGTGTGTGACAGTCGAGGATCGACGGTGTTCTTCCTCACAAGCTGTGGAAGTAAATTGATATAAAAAATAATAATTAAAAAAAAAATGCAGTTGGCGATAGGATTGGAGCAAGCATCTGTCTGAAACGGGCTTTACTGCGGCACTAGCTCGTCGATTTTAATCGTCAAAATTCTACCTGGCAAAGAAATTCGTTCGAGACACGTTTAGTACGAAGAACAAAATCACCAAAATGTAACGTGTACATTTTTTATTCACTATCTTTTCGACGGGTTTCCCCGACTGAGGTTAGCCAACCCGCCACAAAGCTGTCTGGTGCACCTTGCAAGCAAATTAGCAAAAACTAGTAGCTACTGGAAGCTACATCGACCACTCCTTTCTGCACATACATGTCGCGCTACCGTTACCCTTACAAAGCACGAAGCGAATTCACAGTTCCGTCAGTTTAGCGATTATTCAGCGATTTGAAAGGGTAAAAAAAATGAAATACTCATCGTATCTGACCTGCTGAGGTCCAAATTTGCTCCCCAAGCTGGTTTGAGAGGTTGGTCAGAAAGGCAAAGAACAGCAGCACCAAATTAATTCAACCGTACCTGCTAAAATACAAGAGGGCTCATGTGAAGGGTGGACCGTCCAATCGCAATCCTGAATCTGATTTGACAGACGGGACGGGCTTGCGGTGTGAACCAATGGTTGTTCAGCAAGGCTGGGCAGAGGCGGGACCTGTGAAGTAGTTTCACTGACCGGAACTCTGCAGAGACTGGGGCCACGGGGTTTCCTCCAATTAGAGCAAGGGATGAAGACGTCATCGCATTGCCATGGTGATGTTCAGCCAATCCCCGCCGTGCTCCTTTCACACGCTGCAGGCACTGCAAGCGGGTGTGGCCCCCGTTACTTTCAATTGTTGGACGTATGTCCTTCTCGTGTAAAGGCTTAATCTTGTTTAATCTTATTTTCTTTTCATATGCCAACAGTAAACCCACCCATGAATGAATTTTAAATTGGTATAATAATGATAAGAGTAATTACTTTATTTATATGGCACTTTGAAAACAAGGCTTTTCTTTGAGAGAGGCAAGCAAGATTATCTCACATACAGGGAAGTTTTTTACAAAATTTAAAACATGTCAAAGACACAGTGGGATGCAGTTACATAACTAAATTATTCCTGTAAGTGCTGT